TTCTAATTTTGTTTTGAAATTATGCTTTAGATTATTATTTCTATTTATTTAAAGATTTCACAAATGAAGAAATGTTAACAATAATTTCTAGTTTTTGTATAAAGAAAGTTTTAAATTTTGTTTATAATTTTTGCTGGTCAAAAATGGGAAAATAAATTTCAAATAATGTTTATCATTATGTAAGTTATTTTTTAAGGTAAGGAATTGTGAAATGCCCCATGTGATAGGAGATGGCTCGAATTTGGTGCTGTGGACGCTGATGAATTTCCAGCTTTGGACAACGACGCTGTTCGGCTGTATGTACAACGCAACTTTGGGCATGGATCAATTGGGATTGTCTTCGGGGCGGTTCCTGACGGTGGCGAACATGTCAGAGTTTTTCAACGGTGGAGATCCGTGATTGATCTCCAATTTATTGCGCCTACAGATTGTATGGTCGGAAGGCACCAGGTGCTAGGATACGAGCGGGTTTCCGGTCTTGGGTAATATCAAATAGCAAAGACCAACCGGGTTTGTTTACAAAGTGATACCCGGAGCCCCGGAGGGACGAACATCGCGAATAATCGGAGCCTCGAAGATATGCAATCAAAGCAGTTACAAAGGGTGAGACAGAGGAGGAAAGGAGTGCTCTTCAACGTCTTCGCAATGAACTCCGCGTATACCGCGAAATGGAACAGAGACAATCGAAACAGACAGAACTCCCGCAGATTCGGAGTGAGAAGACTGGACCATATTCTGAAGCGCAGATTCGGATTGAGGAGAGTGGAAAGTTGTCTGGCTTTATAAGTACAATCGAACAAGGTCATGCTGCTAACTCATGCAGCGGATCGTCTACGGAGTCTGATGATCACACCACAATGTTATGGACTTTTCGAAACGAAGCGGGCATTGGCATTGGACATCTGGGAGTCCGAGTAGTTATAACGGGAATTGGCCAGCCAACAGGGCGTGAGTGCAACAACGTACATCAGCAACATGTAACACTAAACGTACATACATATCGCCATAGTATCATTCCGCAAGAGGTCACGTGTGTGGTCACATCTGAGACATCACTGACATCTGCCAACTGAGCATTGAGGTTTGCCGCTTTGCCTCAAACCATTGAAACCATGGCCAACCCAACACCTTGCAAATACCAAGACTACCTTCGTGATCATGCTTACTTCTTTTGTCCAGAGGATGTCAGTGGTCAGACAAGCTCAACTAATGTGGACCAATTGGCAGCCGAACGATTGCGGTACGAATGGAAAGTAACGGAAGCACGTCACGATCCGTCCTTGGTCAACTCACTTATCAAACTTCTTGATAGTTTCCTTGGCCAATTTCTAGAAAACATAGAAGGCTGGGGTGTTTGGGATTTTGAGCAAGCATTTCAATCGGAAGTTAGAAACTACAATCAATGCCGGGAGGAGAACATACCTGGTGCAATAATAAAGAAGCAGATGTGAGTACGACGTTTTACTGTAATAACGAATGCCTTTCTTTCGATATTTACTGTCTATCAGGTTCGCCACCTCCTAAGTAATGGGCCTTTTTCGAAGCTTGAGGCAATTATGCCAAATCTTGGCTACCCTCTTTATGTTGATGGTGAAAGCACGTTGCCAGACTCTAAGGCAAAGGTGGGCTACGAGATTTTAATACACGGACGCAGGAAAGGCCTGGTTGAGGCCAAGTCTCTTAGTGTCCTGAATAGAACCGAGGTCAAGTTCTTTGTGCCGAACCCATCGCGCTTCCAAATAAAATTAGCAGATAAAACGACATCAAATGAACGGAGAGTGATAAACAAGACCCGTGTATTGTACAGACACTGAAGCGCTCCATTACTGAATCAAATTTCTTAGGCGTGCTTTTATATGGGTTCATATGAGGCAGAGTGGCTTGCTTTGACCTCCTATACAAAATGGGTTTTCCTCCGACTTCACTGTGGTACGGCGCCTGTCCCAACATATGTCACGTACTCGACTTTCGAAACGCAGTCCGACAATAGCCGCCCATTCCGTGCGCTATTGGGGATGATGTTGGCTATCGCAACGGAGACCGCAGTTCCTTCCAACGCTAGCACCCAGGGACCGCTTCAAGTAATTCCGGAGGATGAAGAAGATCCAGAGAATGAAGGAGCTCCAGGAAATGGTGAATGCGGACCATCTGATTCTGAGCAACAAGACCCTTCTTACGAGGGGAAGCAAAGTGAGGAAACGAATGGGGAACAGCGACAGACCCGATCCATGATAAAGCAAAGTCATTCGGCATCTTTGTCTACCAGTATCCGTGTAAGGTCTCTGATTGATCGCTCAGTAATTTGATTTTTAACTGCTCCATTTCCAGATCGCTTGGTCGGAAGAAGTCACACCGGGCGCTCGTTGGCTGACATTCCGTGCTGTGGATACGGACGGGTTTCCGGGCTTAGGCAATATCAAGTTGCGCCTCCAGCGTAGCATTGGACGAGGCTCTACTGGAATTGTCTACGAAGCGATACCCGAAGAGGACGATTATCGCGAATCATCGAAGCGTCAAAGATATGCAATCAAAGCAGTTACAAAGGGCGAGACGGAAGAGGAAAGGAGTGCTCTTCAACGTCTTCGCAATGAACTCCGTATATACCGCGAAATTGAGCAGAGACAGTCGAAACGGTTAGAAGAGCTTTCACAGGTGAGGAGTGAGGAGACCAGACTATATTCCACATTGCTGATCCAGAGTGAGAAGCCACCTGGCCTGGTTCCCGATTTGCAGGGTCAGAGTGAAATGTCCAGCAGAATGTATTCCGACTCGCAGGGTACGACATCACCAAAACGTGCAGAGTCTGACAAGGCAATATATTTACATGCAGACTTTATAAGCAAATATAAGGATCCACAATATGTAAAAAATATATGTCTTAGCAGTAAATTCCAATACATTTTCGTGTTCGATTTGGTGATGGAGTGACGGGACGTTAGTTTCCGAGCCTCGTGGTTTCGGACGAGATAGTGCAGCTTCAGAACCGGGGAGTCCGAGTCCAAAGATCGTACCACAGTGTTATGGACTCTTCGAAACGAAGCAAACGTTGGCGTTGTTCATGGATTACGAAGGAGATGTGCTCAGTCGTGATGTGAATTGGCCAGAACTGACACGCGATGAGAGGTGCGTATTCAGTACTAAGTCATTCAGCATTCGTGTGTGCAAGCATAATTGAACGACGTCATAGGCGTGAAGTGTACAATGCAATATCGGCACTCCACAGACTTGGGGTTCATCACGGTGACTTGGAACCTCGAAATGTCCTCCGAGACAGCAACGGATCATACAAAATCATTGACTTCACATCGAGCAAGCTACATGATTGTCGCCCTGAGGTCAGTCTTAAACTCTTAAACTCTTAGACTATTTCTTATTCTATATTCATTTACTCACCATGAGTTATTTATGTAATAGACATGTCCGGAGCTGGTTCAGTTCAGAAAGCAACTCAGGATCATTAAAAAGAATTATTTGTAGGAGGAGTACTTTAAGATTCTAAATCCATGCAAGATTAAATAGATCCATTCTTACAGAGGTTATGTATCAATAGTATTCAAAGATAATCAATTATCTTTTCCTTATTTCAAACTCTAATTGTATCACTTCAATTCGTTTTGTATCATGCCCTGTTTTTTTTTTTTTTTTTTTTGAATAAAAAAAAGTGATACAAACTGAATACATAAACAAACCGAGAGAACACACTAATACACTAATACACTAATATAAAATTCAGTTATATTCAACTTCAAATTCCAATGTCTATCAACACACACATATTATAACTTATATTTGTGCACAATTATATATGTAAATGTGAATGTGAATGTATGTGATTCTTCATTTGTACAAGTAATGTGTTTTATTATGAGATTGTTAGTTAAGTGATTTTAAGTGAGACTGAGACTGAGACTGAGACAGAGACAGAGACAGAGACAGAGACAGAGACAGAGAGAACACTGTAGCGAACTTGAACTCAGTCGATTTCCAAAAACTCGAATTCCGAAATTATATCAACTCAAAAGATAAAAGTTTATAAATATAAAAAAGGAGAAAATAAATTGTATTTATCTCTATATATGTCATTTCTGTATTTTATTTATTGAATCTCATGAATAACATGTTTACTATGTATGATTTCGTGCATTTGGATTTGGACGAGGAAAGACATAGACATGATAACTGGTTAATTAGACGATGGCATAAAAAATTCAAAGTGAAGACAAAAGAGAGATTGCATGCATGTACAAGTCAACAAGACCAGACCACAAGAAAGACGCGAGAGAAAGAGTTAAAAGAAAAGAGGACGAGAGAAAAGAAGACGAGAGAATAGAACAAAGAGATACTTCTATGTAAAATGATGTAAATTATAGTATGTAGTTATTCCAGAAAACCGTCCTTTCTCTTCATTTATACAGACTCGATTCGTCGCGTCAAAAACCCAATTTCCAATTCCTGAAAAACCCCAATGATTGAGCGATTGAGAGGGTGAAGGAGATCAATCCCGACCAAACATCCCAACCAAAACACTCTTCATCCTCCCATCCCGAATCGCTTCGTACACAATAGCGACTTCCCCACCGATAGTACGTCCCCGTTTCTCTTCTCCGTCATTTTCGCTGGCAAAGAGACTATGGCCAAGGCCGTTGGGGAAGTTACCTGAGTTCTCGAGGCCGTGCATGCCGACGCCTAGGTCGGAACGGACGAATTGGTAGAGTGCCTTGGTACGACCGAGGAGAGAAGATGCGGGGAGGTAGTGAGAGGATGAGGGGGAGAGGGAGGAGGTGAGGAATGAGTTTGTGAGGGTTGTGTATTCGCTGTGCAGGGTGGAAGTGAGGGTCGATTGGAAGGCCGGTAGTGCTGTGAGGACTGCTGCACTTGATGCTGAAGAGGAAGAGGAGGAGAGGAGAGATTCGATGAGAGGCTGCGTACTGGCCTTCGAAGCCTTCTCACACCTCGGTCTCGCATCCATGTTCGCAGAGGTATCGAATGAGGTCCATACAGCCTTGATCACTTCCTTAACGTCAACTTCTACTCCAGTGAAGTACTCCTTCACAAGCTCGGCGACGATCTCCGTCGTTTTCTCTTCCATAATCTTCTGAATCGCCCTAAGGTCCACCGCTTGACAAAGCAAGATGATGTACGAAGCGACAATCATCTGCAAAACCTCAATCGCCTGCAACGTATACCTCGCACTCAACAGAGCAAGCGAATTCACAGCCTGGTTATGCATCTCCGCACTCTGTACATTCGTACTCACAGGGTTCGCCAAGTACCCCAACTCCGCTACATACGCAGCCATAGCGATATCAATTCCTTTACCAAAGAAATTGAGTGAGGGAGAAGTTGCAGCGAGGTTTCCTGCGAGTCCGTTCGACATGAGTGGGTTTTGTAGCTCGGTGGCTTGTGCGAAGAGGAGTTTGCCGATGTGGAAGATGGCGAGACGGAGAGGTTCGAGAGAGGATGTGAGAGACATTGCTTGGAAGTTGCCGCCGTGGTGGACTATGCCGGTGTCGGGGTCGATGAGTGGATTGTCCGTAGCTACAAAATCGCAAACCAAAGATCAATATCAAGACTTGGAAAGGAAAGGAGATAACGTACTGGAGTTACACTCGATAGCAATCGTCTCAGCAGAGTGCATAACAGTCTCAAGCTGCGGTCCAATCCACTGCGGAGCAGTCCTCAAAGGATAACGATCCTGTCTCAACACACCAGCGTCGGCATCGATAGTCTCTTCTTCAACTCCAGCCATCAAAACATCCTTCCCACTCTCTGCAACAGTGAAAGTAGTAGAAGTCGTCGGCTCAGAGTGGCGTGTAGCCAACTTGGACTTCTCAAGCAAGTGAGTGAGGAGAGCACCAGTTTCAATCTGCCCGGGATGAGGCCTAATACGATGGATGAACTCAGCGAACGAATCGACAGAACCGCGCATCGCTTCCGTTCCCATTGCAGTGCAAACCGTACCGAGCATTATAAGCTGCCTAGCTTCTTCGACGCAAAGTGCAGCTGCAGCGCAACTGAACGCAGTTCCGTTAAGGATTGCGAGTTGTTCCTTGGGACGGAGGGAGATAGGTTCGAGACCAGCTGCTTTCAAAGCGTCGGGTGCACGGAGGATCTTCATGTTCTCTCCAGCCATTCCCATTCCCATTCCCATCGCTCCTGCATCACCTTCTGAAGAGGGAGCGTAGCAGTAGATTCCACGTTCACCAATCAACGTCCCCGCAATATAACTCAACGGACTCAGATCTCCACTTGCGGAGATACTACCGCGGAGAGGGACGACTGGTGTGATTTGCTTTGAGAGGAGACCGCCCATGGAGTTGAGGAGTGGGAGAGAAGCGGCGGAGTGGCCTCGGAGGAGGGAGTTGAGACGGATGAGGAGGGCTGCGCGGGTCCAGGAGGCGGGCATGCTGAGGTCGGAGATGGAGGAGCTTAGTGGGAGGGGTGCCTTACTGGCTTTCTTCAATGAAGATTTGGTGGAGGAGGCGTTGGAGTTGGAGTCTGCGAGAGATTCCAATGCGGTGGGGAGGACTCCGGCATGTTGGTGTTGGAGGAGTGCGAGACCGAGAGAGTCGTGCTCGGCTGTACGCGTGTCCGCTAAGCATCAAACGCATCAGCATCAACAAATTCTATAGCATATATCACTTCGAAGCAAATGAAACTCACCACTTCCACCAAACCCAGTACTAACACCATAAATACTCTTGTTCTGCGCAAGCTTATCATCAATGATAGTGCGCGAACGTTGCAGATGCTCGATACGAGCTGTGTCCTTGGAGAGTTGCGCGAGAGCGTCGTCGATCGCAGCTGAGACCTCGTCGGGGTAACGTGCGACGGCGGAGACGGCTGGGAGAGTCAGTCCCTCACCGGTTAAGGTGATGGGTGCACCGTTCCTGTCACGAATTCAGATTAGCATACACGTCATAGAAGAGTAGGTAAGAAGGAAGAGAAGAACGTACTTGTAAGCCTCAAGCTCATGATAATGCGCAACGAAATCACGCAAACAAGCAGCCCGCTCGAGAAGAGCGTTATACCTCGCATCGTCCTCGGGAGTCGGGACGCGGAGCGGGATGGACGTCTCCGAGGGGTGGTGCGGGAGCGGGTCGACCGGCGGTGGAGGGAAGGCGACGGAGGGAGACTCGTGCCTTGGGGAGACGATTGTCGTGCTACCGCTGTATGAGCGGTGAGAGAAGCTGTCTGAGTTGACGACCATTGTGATTATGATTGGGGAGTGTTGCTGTATGCCGCGGAGCAAGTACTAGGTAGTCGAGGCGTAGTAGAGTAGGTAAAGTATGAGGGAGTGAGCTCCGGACGAGGAATGTTGTGTTTTGGGCATGGCTGGATGGAGGAGTGTTATATATATATATATTGTTTGAGGGAGCAGAGATGCGGCCGCCCAATGCCGTTGCAGTAGCAGATAGACACACAGAGTCAGACGTAGCAGAGAGCACTGTTCAGTTGAGTGTAACGTAACAGTAACACAGCGAACTGCAATTCCCTCTGTGATCGACGCAAGTCCTGTCCCCCAGACAGTCCCCTCCTTCCTTATTTGTCTCCGCTTGTTCCGAGTACAACCTGAGTCACGCTCGGATCTCCTTCATTTCCTACACAGCCTAAATCTTCTCTGCTTACTTTCTCACACCTGGTGTCACTGGCGTTTCACCTCTTCCTCGCTCGTTTCATCTCCATCTTTTTCGTTCCGACTTATGGCTTGCCTAGTTTCCTACTCGTCGACCTAGCTGTTAGGTGACCGTGCTACAGTTACAAAGTACAGCCTTGCCTGCTTTGCTCATCGCTCTTGTCTTTCCTTCCGCCTCGGTCGATCGGTCTGGTGGATACTGACACTGATTTTCACCCGAACACGAATCTGAACTGAATCATTTCTTACGCTGCGCTGCATCGCCCGCCTAACGCTCAACGTCATCACCGTTAAAGAGTCATGCGGGCTGTGCTGAATTAACTTCTCACGGATCAATAACTCTTCCTACTTGTCGTTGTCTTGTTTACTTTGCTGGCTGGCTGGTGTTACTAGTGCTAGGACTGCGTCGAGTCACTTCCACTGCAGTCGAGAGGACGCCGTGATCGCTGTATTGCAATGACATCCATTCCGATCAATGTCTACCTAATTGAACGTCTATTTCTCCTAGTCCTGTGCTGTTCTATTATACAAATCTTAAGAAGTTTTAATACTTCTGAGTGTTGTATCGAGTCAATTCATTCGAGAAGACACCGCATCTTTGTATTATAATGTGCAATGTTTATGATCTAGTGATATAATGATATACCGATATAACGATATACTGATATACAATCTTTCCTTCCAAATTCCGATCAATATTAGCTACCTTAGTAACCTTCTATGTGTATCTCCTAATATCAGCAGCATTAGGCTTGCAATTAAGACAATATGCAGAATCCTGTGTCGTCATTGTATAATGTATTAATACGACCATTAGAAGTTCGACATTTTTCGTCAACAATACTAATATTGACATTGCTATAGTTCATGTTTGTTTGTTTGTTTGTTTGCTTCCGGAATGCGAGTGCACAGTGGTGCACTGAGAGACAATATTATTAGTGGAATTCTTGTGCTAGGTTCTAACATTGTATTATAATTTATTTAGATCAGTAGAAGTCTAGTCTAATACATTAGAAGTTCGATATTTTTCGTCAATACTAATATTGACATTGCTATAGTTCTTGTTTGTTTGTTTTTTTGCTTCCGGAATGCGAGTGTACAGTGGTGCATTGAGAGACAATTATTAGTAGAATTCTGTGCTAAGTTCCAACACTAGTACTGTATTATATTATATAAATCAATAGAAGTCTAGTCTAATTTCTTCCAGCAGTGTTACTTCTTCTAATACTAATACTAATACTAACGTTATTGTTAATGTTACTGCTATTATAACCTTTTCACTTCCTTCCGATATGTGAGATATGTGAGCGTCTGTACACGCGCTAATCCGTCAATCCATCCACCTATCAATGCCAATACATCCTACACCAACGCAGGAAAATAAAATTTCCTGTACTAGTAGGCATCTTTTCATCTTTCAAATGACTTTTAGACAGGACGGACATCCCACGCCCATAAATCCCGACTCCGACCCCGACGCACCGACGCTGCTTCCAATCATCTTCCCAATCCTAATACATACTCCTCCGTAATTTGCTTCCGACGGACCCGGACTTAACCACTACAATGATGTCCACGCTAATCTATATACAAATTGTGCTAATTTTTAGGTAGGTAGGTAGGTACCTCGCTTCTCTGCTATTCTGTTTTCAATTAACACAACTACAGTAAACAAGCCAGCACTTCTCTATAATAAATCATTTTTTTATTTAAAAAAAGGATAAAGAAGAATATAGTAAGGAATACAGCACGGCTATGTCACATTCCCCAATAACTAAGATTCTCTAATTATAATAATACTATTATTCTAATATTTCTTAATTTGTAAATAAGCACTCTTATCTCCGTCACTGCAGAGGATATCCTGAAACAAAACAACAAACTGTACATATGCAAACCTTGATCTAAGGTCTAAAGTCTCGGTCTCGACTCTTTGCCTCTTGACTCCACGGGCCTGAAGAAGCATCGCCGGAACGCTCATCAGACTCATCACTCACTGGCTCTGTGCACATTGCGGCCGTACTCTTCCTTCGATTTACTATCCCCGTCCCCGGTAAACCTGTGTTAATGTGTGGCGACTGTGTTCGGTAACTTCGGTTCGGCTTGATGTTCTTCTTTGCTTATCTGTGGCAAAAGTCAGAGGGAGAAAGCATGTGGGTCTTATCGGATTTGTCATCTCAGTTTCTTGCCCTCCTTTCTTCCTTCCTTTCATCAACTATATATTGTACAATGTATAACTGGATAGAGTACTTCCTGTGATCGTTATGATTTATTCCTAGGAATTTGTACATACTTTTTGGTCTGTATTTCTTTCCTCTTCTCTTCTTTTGTTTGTAAGTGTTATCTCGTTTATAATCAACCTTCTCCGAGTCCTTCTAGCTTACTCGTGTATCTACACTATTACTCACAACATGCTTCTGGATTCTGGTGCATGTATGCACGTCATTTTCGATCGGCGATAGCACAAAGATAAGACAATATTAATACTAATTTACTTTTACAGCAATGGTTCTATGTCCTGTAAACATTGCATTATAAATATAGTTACCTTATTACCATTACCCTAGACTCAACGGAATTCATCGGATCAAAACTGGTATACTGTTATTAGACCGTTGTGTCTTGCGTGGTGGTGGCGATACACTTTCGTGCATTACAAATTTACATTACATTACATTGTACTTTATCAGTATTGATATTGTTCTACATTCTTGATGCTTCCTGTAGTATACCTCATTTGAGATTTTGATCCCCAGATGATGTATCGAACGCCTAAATGTTTGTTGTCTAACGACCTAGGTTACTGTACCTGTTACTGTGATGTACAGTGAATAGGAATAGTGTATCACTGTATTGTGTATCGCGGCGTCTACATCATGATCAGGATCCGGATCAATATATGAAACAAATCTTTAAACCAGACTGAACAATTAAATTGCTGAGAGCTTTGTCTGAAAAGAATTGACCAATGTCAGAATTCACACTTTACAGACCTTTATAAGCCTCTTTAAGTTTTGTTATTGATGGTGTACCTTCTCAGCTTTCTTGCTCTTCTCCTACTTCATTGTCCATCTAATTTGTTTAATTATTATTAATTATATCATATCGAATTGTAAGGCTGATTCTACTCTGTTGCAATATGGGTAAAGAAATTACCTGTCAGCAGTGCATTTACACTGAGTTTCGGATTTTACAGAATGACAAGTTGCCTGTTGTGTGGCTATCACAGATGCAGAATCAATACAGATGTCCTTCCGACAGTAGAGCCTATGTCTCTTGTAACCCGGTTCACCCAGAGTCGAGGTATACAAGGTCAATGTAAATTACAATACTAAGAGTTAAATCAAGTCAATCAATAACTTAGAGAATCATCTCAACTCTTGATTTTATTATCTCATGGCGTGCTAATATTGATTGCAATGACAAAGAATGGTCAATAAAAATAGCGATGTTGTGAAGTTCACAGCATCAAGTCCCCAACAAACACGTTAATCTACCTCCCTTAATATAATACTAAATAAGCACAAGGGTTAATTAGCGGTGGGAATACACAGGCAATATTAACAGAAAGAAAGAAGAGGGACCCCAGCAACTAACATCAATGCTCTTGGCCGAGAAGACACAAACGGAAATAACAAGCTCAGATTCCGAGAATGATAGAAAAATAAGATCAAGCTAAGAATATTCCAAAGGACATGTAACACATGCAAATTCAGGAAGAAGATGACGATGGAGAATTAGAAGAGATACTAATGACATTTAACTCCATACATGCTAGACTTTGACCGCGGAGGAAACTCTAAGAACGCATTATAATTGTAATGGTGTATAACACAGAAGAGATAAGAATAAAGAAATCGAACGAGAAAGTATTGGGAATATATTAGACACCGAATACCAGTCGAATGACATAGAACATCATTAAGTACAATTATGTATACTAGAAGAAGACAAGATAAAAGAAACACATGTGATGTTGTGATGTCAAGTATGTATAAAAAGTGTCACAGCGAGCTATAGCCTCAGCGCTCAAGTGCTCAAAATCTTCTTCTGTGTGATGTGCCTTAACCCCGTTAAGACATTGCATGTGAGAGCGGCCACCGATTGCTTTATACACGGGTAGAGGAATGTATTCATTATGATTGACATTTATTGTGATTTACCACTGATCCCAGCTAAATAATTACGAGATTTCATGAAGAAAGTATTACTGTAACGTTGATATCGAGATGTGATTACAGTCGTTCAAGTTGATGTGCACACTGGAGATAATAGAATTACGAGCCCATAGAGCAGTACGGCATTTAAATTATAATAATTTCAAAATCAAGATTAGACGAAAGATAGAAGCTCGAACTCGGAAGATAAACAGAGAAAAGGTCATGCATGAATCTATCGTTCCGTGATGTACAGATGCACCTGACCTTGAGACCGCAGTGCATGACGGAAAATGTAGATATATATAGCATACGTTGTCTCGGTAATATAACGGATCAGGACAATTCAGTCGCAGATCAGGAAGTCGTGATGGACTGAGAAGGTTCCTCGAGATGCATGCTGTGATCCCAAAAAATAAGAATAAGAGAAGTCTCTTGGATTCGGAATTCAGCGTATTGCACTGATGTGACATAAGTTATTGTAATGCGATGCTGGCATCAAAAGAGCGCGAAGTCCGTGATGTCCTATCAAAAGTTTCCCAGGTTAGCGACGCCGGATTTTACCTGCGGCAAGTAGTGGCGACGTCGTATGGAATTCACGTTGTGCATTTTCTTTGTTTATGCGGCCGTCGAAGATTAATAAAACCAGAAAATAGACATCCGGACTAGTCTCTTTGATTAATCCCAATGGCATCGGTTTCAGTACTCCACCGAATGGCCCATGATGTTCCCTGAGAGCAATTAGTTGAGACGAGAAGTTGCATGGGAGAGCTTTTATGATTGACCAGATTTTGTTCTTGGAAGCATCGGAGGTTTGCCACACAGCAATTGCAACTCTATTGAAGATCTCAGAAGCGAAGCCAGCGGTGGGGAGCTTTCACAGAGGTCGAGCGAGTAGTGGTGTTCCTGTTGCTTGTTGTCTGAGAAAGTGAAAGCGAAGCCCGAATAGCCTCGACTTTTGGGCGAACCGAAGCTAACCCTCTGAGGCGCCCGACGTAGCATAGCATCCCTCTAGCGCCAATCAACTTCGGGCGGGATACAGAAGGGTAGCATCTCCCGCGCCTTCGTCAAAGCAAGGGAATGTTCCGAGAAAGGAACCTCTGTGACATTGTAAAACTGTCTCAGCCTAAAAAAATTAAAGCAATGTACTTCTAAAGGTAAAAAGGGTCCATCACCGCCGTCAAGGTCGTCAAACAGTGATAAAATTCTTTTCAAGGGTAACCACCGAGGACCCCGGAGCGGACGAGGCAGTACAATGCACGCAAGCAGGAGCTTTGAAGAAGACATCGGTCGGTGCCTGAGTCTCTCGGATCGACGTACCAACGGCAGCATAACTTGTATAGACGCCCGCAGACGATCTCCAAACATTTATTTTAGGCCCGCCGGGCGCGGAGACTCCGTCCGCAAGTCTCAAAAGTAATTTGATAAAGGAGAGTCAAAGTGTTCTTGTTGGAAGGTTGGGTATACAGACTGTGGCGGATTGGTGAACACGTTAGGCACAGGGTACAGGACTTATCGGTGACACCTCAGATTCGATTAGAGAACAGCTGCGGCGAGGGTGAAAAGTGTAAGAGATCGTTGGTCCCTTCAACGGAGAGCCATGAGGAGCTAGAAGATTGGAGATGGGCGTTCGAACGGCCGCAAGTGCTACTAGCGGAAAATGCGTCAATAAATGTCGGCAATACGGACGCCGACGAATGAAGCGAGTCGGCAAATGATCCAGAAGCAGTGTGAGAAAGCAAGATGACAAGATAAGTGCACCACGGCACGGTCGGCGGGTCTTCGCAACTCGTAAAAGAGATTTGCTAGCGCATAGTACTTGCGGCAGGGTCGTATGCTAACCCGCACGGTTCATTCGTACACGATATCCGTGTTGTGTAAGACCCATGAAATTCGAGCTGTCATCTAGAACGCCAAAGGGAAGATTTTGTGAAGTGCCGACTCAGAGGGCGAGCAGTGGCCGCAGATGTAGAATTACCGTACGCACGCCACGGTCTCAACGGCGAATTACGATTTAGGCACGACAAGTTTTCGCGTGGTGAGAAGCACAGTGATAGACAGGGCTACAGCGCGCCTCGATGGTACAATTCGTGCCTGATCCTCCGCAGCCTTGCGTTTGCTTCAAGACAAGTTGAGGATCCTGCTTGCACAAAATACGTTTGGTAGGTCCTTGCGTGAGTCCATTCCATTACGAGACAATACGGCAACTAAACAAACCTTTGTCGTGCGGACGCACCACAACGGACATCAGGCCGATTGTGAGGAGTTCCATGTTTCCACAGTTTGGCTCGCTCACCGAGCGTGCCCGCAAGCAAAACGTCGATACTCTTTGCTCGACGAGATTGCTGTTCCCCTGCTACCTGTCACTTTTGCAATCTGGAACATTTGGTAAGAAGTTCGATGCTTTGCACAGCGGAGCCAATCCGAGCTTCTTTGCAAATTGCAATCATTCCTAGTTTATTAATACGCACAGCTTCTTTGCGGGAAAAGAATGCGTCACAGGTCCAGATCAGTTAATAATAGTAACGGAACGTCACCATGTACCGACAGACTCAACTTCGATTGAGAGGACCATTCACTCTGGAGAAACCAATGTAAGCTATTACAACCTATATGAAATGAGTTACCCCACTGTCCCCAACTGGTGTGGAGACGTTATTGACCATCGCATCGGAAATATCCTTCAGGTTTTATCCGTAAATGCTTCTCCGGGACAAAGGAAGATCGCGGGGAAGAAGCAGGGTAAAATAATTTTCGTTTTCTTTGCAGACCCTGTAGAACGAGCCAGTTCCCCACCCCCCCCCCCCCAGCTTCGAAAGGACCGTGGCAGACACGAAGGATACGCCAGTACGATAAGCAGACGTAGATAAAGCTTCTCCTATTACCGACGACGCTTAGCATGAGCATAATGTACCTTCTTATGGTTGCTTTACTCAGCTATCTTCATCCTTATGGTTTCGACAGCAGGATATAGACGGCACAACGTCCAGTCCCATCACAAATCAGACTCGACGAAGGATAGAAGACAACCATCGGACGGAACTTGCACCATACTCCAGACCAGACAGTGTGATCTTCGCACTTTCAATCCAAAATAACAGGACTTCCTAAGCCGAGCATTTGGGGTTGGTCTGTCAAATTTGGGTCAAGTAGCGTCATTCCTTGAGTCGGGTACCATCATAATCACGGTCCGCCTAATATCACCGTGCTCAATGTCAACAGTAGTCAAATTCAAAGAGTTTCCCTAGTGTTTACCTAGTATTTTATTTGGGTAGCCGCCAATAAATTCGGCGTACTCCCTATTCGACGACGAAAACAACGAGGTCATGCAAGAGGTACCTAGTGCCCCAGTTTCCAAGAGCCTCGCATCGTGACCTCTGTCCCGGAAGGAGCATTAAGAATGCAGCGGACCGATGTTGCTCCTGCATAGGCTTACGTGGAGAACGGGAAATGTTGTCTGACTCTGAGTCTGAGTGTAGCATGTGCATTCTGAGATCGAGTTGTGCGTATAAGTTCAATAGCAAGGCAAGAGGTTTGTGATCGGCAATTGCCTTGCGATTCACCGTCGATCATATTTACTAAATTAACACTGCAAAAGTGTCGCGGAGTTGAAATATTCAGAAACCGATGACGTTTTTGCGGAAGTAACTTGTAAAATAAAGAAATAATGCATATCCTACATGTCTTTTCCCTCGTCGTCGCCTATCGGAAAGGCGTGGATACCACACAAGGCATATCAAAATAGAAATAAGCTCTGGGGTGTTTGTTGATAAGGCCAGTAGCCTAGAACGCCACACGTTAGTAGTGGACAATCTCATGTCGAAGTCGCTCCCAGCTCTCGGACGGATCATGGAGTTGTTCTCCCGTCCTATGATGAAAGACCTCTCTGTGTTTCGTACATCCGCTACTACATTCCCCCATGCACCGCAGAATATTTCTTTAGTATTCGAGCAATTTCCTTTCGGTAGAAAATGATGGTTGAAGGTCACATCCTCAAGAAGCAACTGAGTCTGCACAACTTGTCTCACATGCAAGTATTGCGTGTCGTTGACTAAGCGGATACTTTGTCATACGTGCACACACTCTAGACTGGGGGGTAAACGTACATGCAAGTAGACACTGGCACTAACGCGCAATAAAAGGTGACGGCATGAAGAACTCATTCACGCGTTTCAGCGTCGCTCTCGAGGGATTAGATTCTGGTCTACTCGCTATGATCCAATGTAATCTTGCGCGGAGCGTCTCCTTGTTAACTAACGACAAGACCTCGATTAGCATCACCCCTTAGCCAGGCCAGAACGAAGGGACCCAAAACAAAGGAGGAATAGAAAAAGACGTACCCACAACATCCCCTCTTCCCTCCCCCCATCTTGTCAAGTCCAAACTCCCGGAATCATCGAAGAAAGCCTGTAAAGCAACGAGTACGACACCAACGCTCAGGTCGGTCCCTGTCTCGCATGCGACACAGATTTTCTTTTTGATTTCACAATTGCGTTGCTGGGATTCGGGCTGGGACTGGGGCTGGGAGACTTGAGAGAGAAGATGATGCCGGATGAAAGCTAAGCAACCTGATAGACTCGCTTTGAACGCTCGTTCTGCACCCTTTTTGTCAGTCGGTAGTGTAATTTCGTGGATATGTGTGTACTTCTGCAGATCGTTGTTGTTCTCATTGGTTGACGGACTGGATTTAGTTTCGTCGGTGGTCGGACGTGGACGAGAACGAGCGACGATATACGCATACGCAAAGTCGGTGGAACTATTTGACTCGTCTAATTTTTCTTTCTCGGAACTGGTATCAGCATTGGTTCCCCCTGCTGACACTAGTGCTGCAACGTCTAATTTTAAAGCCGATTGTGGTATGTCGCTGAGCTTACAGATGGATAAGAGACCTTTAACGTGCGCGATAGGCGTAAGAGGGTTCGTCCACCCCTTCCCCTCTGAGATAGTAGAAAGTCGTAAAGTAGAGGGATTGGACCTCTCGTTAAGGTTGACCATCTTCTTCAGAACATCCGGGAAATCAAGCTCTGAGGCGAAGAGTAACTCGTCTTTGTGTCTCCAGAAAGTCTCTGGTGTGAGCCCCTGCACAAGAAACAAAAAGTTATGTTGCAAGATTCAGATATATACGGTTAATCGAATTGAGATGATAATCTAGGAAGTAGAAAAGGACGTACCAAACTCCAATTTTCGTGATCATCCCCAGCTCCCTGAACATACGAATAGCCGTGTCTCCGTCTCTCCACGCCTTCCTCAACACATTTCGACGCAGATATACATATAACAGGATAAAACGCCGTCCCTTGTTCAAAGACTGGTAAAGTACTCGTAGCGGGAGTGATCCAGATAGGGCGGAGTGGTTTGTGGAGATTGGGTAGCGAGTAGGTTGATCTCTAATATAGCGAATAGCCGTGAGCGTACTTATTCTCTGGATTAAGAATCCCAGCATCCGGGTCTATGAATCAAATAAGTATAGAGACGTACATACCGCGAGTTCATCAGCCCATCTGTCTAGCTTATCCGCGATTTGGCTGTGTTCTTGTTTGCTCACACTTTGTGGAGGGGTATATAATTCTACATCCCAATTATCCCTGTCTTTTCCGTTGTCCTCGTCATTAGCTTTTCTGAGCGCCAGTGCTCTGTTAATTACAGCACACCAGATAGGTACGGCCTTGGCGAACGAGTCTGGCATCCGTTTGCCGGATCGCGTCGAGTCTACGATGCATATCCTATATCAAATCAAACAAAGTATTTCAAAGTCAAAACTAAATCCAAATTCAAAATAAATAAATAAAAATAGATTAGACACAAAAAAAAATAGTAAAATAGTAGACCACAAAACAAATAAAAAATAAAATAGAGGCTCACCCGTGTGCATCAAGGATCAAAGGCAAGATATGTAAGTTTGGACGACGGAGGTTGAAACTCCAAGCGTTATAGTGTCCGTCAGCGGATTTGAAGTGCGTGGTTATGCCATTTGCCTAGATGAATAAATAAATCGATTGGCATCATATATATTAATATTACTGTGTATTATATTGATGAAACGAGGAGAGTTCCTGGTTACATTGCGGGGATCGGCGTACCAAGCTCCACATCGTAAGTTAGCTGTGAAAAAAGGGATAGAGAGATAAGTCCGTTGGAAGAAATGGTTGAGTGCAAAGCAGAAAAATAGGTCATTATGACACAGCAACCTCTCGTCTCATACAGTACTAATAGCATAAAAAAGCAGACAGAGCGAAGCGAAACTAACTGTTTTAACTCACCAAGTAACGGATACGAAGCGTACTTCTCATGTACACTTTGCACGCAGTCGATATCTTCTGCGATCGAGTGAAGCCGGTTGTATGGGTCGAGTGATTGTTTGCGGATTTGAGTTAGCGCTGCGTGTTCGAACTTTTTGCGGTCCATACTACTATTAGTGAGTAGTAGATCGAGTCCAAGTGGCATCGATGTTCTAGACGTGTCGTGAATATCGTGGATGCTGGTTTTGATATCGACTATGGTGCGGAAGGAAAGAGCCAAAAGTCGGTATGCGAAGATATTTATGGTTATTGCATCATTCGCGTGTTTGGCATCATTTTGACACGCAGAGGGGATCCTGTTCGTAGTCTGGTAAGAGTTACGAAGTCAGTAAGATGTTCAGTACGAGAGGTCAACTGTACTACTGATTTGTGAAATTTTGAATGCGATCGAAAGAGGAAAGATGCTCAACGCGTGTTCGGAATCGGAATCGCGGGCACGCGGATCGACAGCAAGGAAGCACATGTGAAATAAGGACGTTCGTATTGGTATTGCTGGTGCTACAACTCATTCACTCACACGACGATGCCCATCGCGCACGGAGTCAAGAAACTGGGTGTCCTCGGTGCAGGCCAAATGGGTAAGTCAATGCTTCTCCTTGCAAAACAAATCACAGAGTGAAGCCATCCATCTGACGTGTATACCTTGTAATCACAGGCCTGGGTATAGCCTATGTCGCTGCCCTCCGAGCCAAAGTTGACGTCCTCCTGTACGACGCCTCCTCAGAGCAGATCCAAAAGGGTGTACGATTAATGGACAAGCTCCTCGCAAAGGATGTGGCGAAGGGCAAAATCGTGGATTACGAAGCACAAGCTGCCCGTGCGCGTGTGACTGTTGTGCCGCAGGAGAAAGGATATGCGGGGTTGCGAGATGTGGATATGGTTATTGAGGTGGGTTATCTTGCTTTGTTAGCGTCTAGATGTTTAATGTGCTAAATGACGATTTGTCGTGTGATCTGTGTAGGCTGTATCAGAAAACCTCCCTCTCAAGCAAAAGATATTCGGCAGTCTAGCACAGGAAGTCTCACCATCTGCAATCCTCGCGTCGAATACATCGTCCATCAGCCTTACGAAGATCGCAGCTGCAACAATTGCTGCTGACGTTTCTGCCGCATCAGAGAAGGGAAAGGCGAATGCTTCTAGAGTTGTCGGTATGAACATGCCTCCTCTGCTCGATTTAAACTGCCTATGACGGGGAAAGTTACTGACGAATCAATAATGCGACAGGCTTGCATTTCTTCAACCCAGTTCCCGTCATGGTTTGTAGCATCTTCCCCTGTAATATATTAAAATTGCATAATCACCTTGATGTGTTTATTTTATTTTATTTCGCAGAAACTTGCGGAATTAATAGCAGCTCTTCAAACCTCGGAACAAACACTTTCTCGTGCGCGAGCGTTCGCATTAGCATGCGGCAAAGGTAGGTACCACCACTCATTTATTTCTGATTGTTTAATCACTAAATTACTCAAACCTGGATTTTTTGCAGAGGTCACTACGTCTAAAGACGTGCCGGGCTTCGTATCGAACGCACTACTCATGCCATTTATCAACGAGGTGCGCTTTGCCACTGCATTTTACGCTTCTCCCAGTCATTCAACTCATTGAAAACTCGGGAATCTAATTTGGATTAAATTGCAGGCTATTATGTGTCTCGAGAAAGGCACAGCAACTCGAGACGATATTGACAAAACCCTAAGACTCGGGATGAATCATCCAATGGGCCCGTTACAACTTGGTGCACATTTCTGTACTCCTGGATTATGCACCCATATACCACTTACTAACGAAAAATCGTGCAATTCCGTTTTATAACGGTCTTCACATATATAACAGCTGATTTGTACGTCCTTGTTTCCCGTTTCCCGTTTTTCTTCACCATCCTTGCTTTTTTTGACTTACGCACCTGCGATTGGTTTATTTTGTCTTGCTTCCTTTAGCATTGGCCTCGACACCTGCCTAGCCATCCAACAGACTTTGTACAATGGCACGGGAGACTCGAAATACCGACCAAGCGTGCTTCTAGAGCGAATGGTGGATGCAGGGTGGTATGGCAGGAAGAATGGGAAGGGGTTTTACGAATATGATAACACCTCTTCGTGAAGTGGAGTGAAGTTTGAAGGACTACTACGTATTGGTGAAGTGGTATTCAAAGCAAAATGCAAATGTATATTACGACAATGCAATGCAACCGATTTGAACAAAGCTCTTGAAAGAATAAGTAATCCTGTGAGTAAATAGGCAGTCCGACCGAATAAATCCTGCTCCCTCTTGTGAATGCTCGACCATGCCAAAGGCATCTGATACTTAATGCCTGGGGACAAGGAATATATATAGAGAGAGTAAAAGACAATCTATGTAAGAGAATATGTACAATGCAGTGCTAAAACAACTATTGCTTTTTGCCAAACCCTTCTGCCCATTTCGTACCTATTGGTGCGGTTGAAAAGTCTATCCTTGTGGCAAACGGGCAGCTGAAAACAGCTGTATTACAAGGGCGAAATAGGGTTGGACGCAAATCGGGCGGGACCCATGTAAGCAATTCACTTTGTCTACCTAGGATCCACCCATCTTCAGACATAGTCCAGTTTGAGGTAGTAGCAGACATGTTTAGAGTTGCTGAAGGTGTCGCAGTATCAATCATTCCTGGTAGATTAGTACCTTCTTCCTTTGACCCGACAGCAAAGTAGAGGATAGCTGAAGATATAGAGAAGTTAGAATATATTTTGAAGGTATGCCACGACCTCTTACAGCTGTCAAGATCCCAAATACGAATCGTGCGATCGTGCGAGCCAGACACAACGTGCTTACCGTCTGGCGAGAAACCGACAGACCAGACCAAGTCTGCATGCCCTTCAAACGGGCCCGCGACAACTTCCCCGCTTGAAGCATCCCAAATCCGAATTGTCGAATCATGTGAGCCAGTGACGACGCGCTTCCCGTCCAGCGAGAAACTGACAGACGTGACCGACTCTGTGTGCCCTACAAACGGGCATGCAACAACCTCCCCAGATTCAGAATCCCAAATGCGGATTGTCTTATCGTATGAGCCAGAGACAATGTGCTTCCCATCTGGCGAGAAACCGACCGACGCGACCCATTGTGTGTGCCCTTCAAACAGGTCCACGACAATCTCCCCGCTTGAAGCATCCCAAATCCGAATCGTCTTATCAGCTGAGCCGGAGACGACACGCTTCCCATCTGGCGAGAAACCAACAGACCTGACCCAGTCTGTATGCCCTTCAAACGGACGCGCGACAACCTTCCCACTTGCAGCATCCCAAATGCGGATCGTGTCATCGCATGAGCCAGAGACGATGCGCTTCCCGTCCGGCGAGAAACTGACAGACATGACCAAGCTTGTGTGCCCTTCAAATGGACCCGCAACAACCTCCCCGCTTGAAGCATCCAAAATCCGAATCGCGGAATCTCCCGAGCCAGAGACGACGTGCTTCCCGTCTGGCGAGAAACCAACAGACGTGACCGAGTGTATATGCCCTTCAAACGGGCCCGCAGCAGCCTCCCCACTTGAAGCATCCCAAATGCAAATCGTCTTATCGCCTGAACCAGAGACGACGCGCTTCCCGTCTGGCGAAAAGCTGACAGACGTGACTGAGTGTGTGTGCCCTTCAAACGGGCCCGCGACAACCTCCCCGCTTGAAGCATCCCAAATCCGAATCGTCTTATCGTATGAGCCAGAGACGATGTGCTTCCCGTCTGGCGAGAAACTGACAGACCTGACCGAGCTTGTGTGCCCCTCAAACGGGCCCGCGATAGCCTCTCCACTTGAAGCATCCCAAATCCGAATCGTCCAATCGTCTGAGCCGGACACAACGTGCTTCCCGTCCGGTGAGAAACCGACAGATATAACCTGACCCGTATGCCCAATAAAGTTCTTAATGCATGCAGTCGTCACTTTAGTTCCCGATCGATATGTTTCAATAGCCGGATGAGTCTGTGAGAAGTGTTTTGATACCTCCGACTCGCCTTTCGAGAGAGAAAGCATGGAGAGATAGATCTGGGGGGTGCTTTGCGAAACCGGTGAGGCGTAAATACCAGCTAGCCTGTACGCATCCCACAAAAATGACGACAACTGGTCGTTGTTTAGCTGTCAATATAATCAGTAACGCACGAACAAGTCAAGCTAGCTATACTAACCGAGGCCCATATGATAGCATCGAGAAGCGCTCGACCAGCAACACGCTTGAATTGCTTCGTCAGAGTCAGCACCTCAAGCCAGTACAACATGTAATTGTATGCGAAATCCGTTAGTTTCCTTACAACGTCCGCAGAATGCGGTATGTCGCCAAGATGCTCGGCCCAGAACCTGCAAGCGTATGAGAGGTGCAATGGTATATTCTTTGCAATCAGTTTCTCAAGTTCGGGAACCTTATCGTTGCAAATGAACGACGTCTCTAAGCTACACATATTAAAATGTAGTAACTGCTCCATTACGTCGAAGCATCTAACGGTGATTGTATGTCTCTGGATATTAGTATCAACAAACCATCGCTGATCACCAGAGCGCTCGGGTGACAGAAGATAGTCAGCAAATGATGCATGATGAAGTCGCACGGGCTTTCCAGGCTCGTAAGAGAGAACAGAATGCAGTCTTCGCAGCATGAGATGTGACTTCCCCGGCTGAAGGTCTGAGAGTTTGTCGATATCATCGTCCGAAAGAGGTTGCTTTCCGAGAAGAATTAGTCCTAGGATCTTCCTAAATCGCTCCACCGATTTATCCTCTTCCCACGAGATTCCCGATTGCTCAAGCACAGTACCATACAGGCTATCTAGGCCAACGAGTGACCGAGCGTTTTCCACAAGCTCCTCCAACTTCTCTACCTTATCGTCGCTTCTAGAGACTAGTTTGACCACTGTCGATGCCCAGATGAACAAGCCCCCTGCCGCATCACCGAGGATCTCCATGTTACTATCACACACAAACCCTGCTGGTATGGGATCCGTCACCGCGTTGCGTATCGCATCGTTAATGTACGCATGTACGTCACTGCGACTTTGATCCAAAGTAGGATCAAGCTTGATTTCGGATATGTGCGGCCGCAGTGACAGAGACGTCATGATGTCGTTTTCCGGTCGACTCGTGATGAAGAACCGGAACTTCTCCGGTAGCTGTGCGAAGTCGTCTTTGAGCAGTTTCAAGATTTCTTGTCGCTGCTCTGTACTGCCACATTCGTCCAGAGCATCGAGTATGATGATTACCGGATCTCCAACAACATCGACAGAATCTCTGAGTGGTCCTAAAAGCAGCGTCTCGAACTGTGTCATAAGCGTGGAGCCAGTAATATTCCTCAGCTGCTCCGCAGCGGATATAATGCGCTTTGCAAGCTCCGAATTGAATGCTGCGAGCTGGTAAGCAATCGTCTTGATGACGGATTTAGGCTCTGATTTTCTTCGTTCGAAGAAAATAAATGCTGCCAGACGCGATTCTAAATCGCAATAGTCCATGATGGAAGCCGCGATGGTGCTCTTTCCTGACCCAGCGATTCCATTGAGCCACAGAATGTTCGTCTCCGTCGAGGGTGAATGCAGCCAATCCTTGATTTTCGACAAATATTCGGTCCGTGTATTCTGTAGACAGCGCGGTCGTTCGGACGTGTCTGATCTCATTGGCTCGAGTAATGCTTCAAACGATTTTAGGTCGCTGTTGCAGTTCTGTGTCTTTGACTTAGTTGGAGATAGCAATGATGCTACTTGGCGCACACACCCATGATGTCAATCTTAACAGACACACGACTCGTCGTGAGCGCGCCGTGAAGGGCAATACCAGAGTCCATCGAGTTCCTCAGAAGAAGCAAGCGCTCCTTGTAATCGTTTATCTTCGGCCCGCTACTAATCTTGAGTGTTCGACCTATGGAAAAGATCAGTTTAAATAGGAACAGAACGAATGTGAAAGTGATACCAATAAAGCTGCTTTTAGTGTATTCTTTCACAAAGGTACACAACTCAATAGTTAATTTCAGGAGTTCACATATAACCTCCTTGAGCTTCTCAGTAGTATCGCCTAATGATTGTGCATCACGAGCGAAGCCAAATGCTTGTTGCATGTGGTCAACAAGGTCGACGAGTTTTTTATCCGTCTTGAATTGGTTTGACACAATCTATGTTCATCAAAATGCGAGCTGAATTGCATCTCGCAAACAAGTATGAACCAGCCTAACCTTATATAAAAGAGAGGTTGCTTGCCACGCCAGATTCAGGAATGGATGGACCTAGTAATATTTATTCATTTCCAGACAGTTCACTTCTTCCATTGAATGGCACTTACCCTTGAACTTATGTCATCGGCAGCTTTAACAACCTCATCTAGCTTTTGGACAAGTGATCCAATGGTGCTGGCAATAGAATCTGCTGGGTTTGCAGACCATCTGATTTGCAGGATGTGCCGTCTTGCAGCCTCTACATCGATTCCAACACGATTCTCGATGTCGACGTCCTTTAAATACAGGCGAACTGTACCAACAGATATACGTGCTGCGCGGTCACGATCGGACGCAGTGTAAAGCCCTAAGCTGGCTATAATCTACTATAAGCCTTCCGGAGCATTCAAGGACAGCAGGCAAGACACACCTTCCCCGTTGATGCATTTTAGTAGTAATTCCTTAATCGAGATATTGGTATTTCCGATTTGACGATGGCGCATCGCAAGTCTATGCATTTGACCACGTGCTTCTTCTGTGACACACACGCTGAGAATGTGCCAATCATCTGATGATGAACTGGAAGAGCGTTGAGCATGTTTGCAGTGCACTACTCGATTCACTCACAATGTAACAGTGGAATTTGATCCAGGTAGTTTGTTCGCGGATAATTCCGGTCTCTCCTATTGTGACTTTCTCTAGTAACACTTTCACAAAGTTGGACAAACCAACTGTTTGCGATTCGCGCTTGAGGTTCGTGAGGCGCCTAACTAGAAAGAAATGTCGGGTGGGATACAGTTGATGGTATAAGAGACAAACCTTCAAGGGCATAGTGGATTGGTGTGGGTGTGGGTGCGGACATGACGATGGAGGCAAGTCAAGGGTAGTGTACCTTATCTGTGACACCGGTCTTCCTTAAGCAGTAGACTAGGGAGGCTGTATGCACAACAGAAGAATGATCCAGCTGTTTGCCGCATGTTGGTTGTTCAATAGGTCTTTTAAGACGTTCATGTGAACAGGAATCGCGCGTCATTCAGGCATGGAGTTTATCCGATAGTTATATGGTGGATACGTTTTCTGAACGCAGAGGAAAAAAATTGGCAATGAGCAGAAACAGATGTCTTGATTCCAGTCGGTCGGACGGTTGCTCTAACCGTTGTGTAAATCTAAAAAAAATATTCAATAGTGATACACATGGGGCATTTCACAATTCCTTACCTTAAAAAATAACTTACATAATGATAAACATTATTTGTAATTTAATTTACCACTTTTGGTTAATAGCAATTGTGAATAAAATTTAAAATTTTCTTTATACAAAAACTAGAAATTATTGTTAACATTTCTTCATTTGTGAAATCTTAAAATAAATAGAGATAATAATCTAAAACATAATTTCAAAATAAAATTAGAAATTTTCTTTGAATTTTTT